CGCCCACTCACTCGTTCATTTATTCGGAAGGCGATTCATAGTTTGCAGTTCATACCGATGTTCCGTCCAACTTGAACATTTCCAGCCAACCTTGCCTTCGAGCCGCCGCCTGAGCCAGGAATTAATTCAACACTTGGTATGTATACGCTTTTATCATGATTTTCCTTTATTTTTTGTATTTTCCTAAAAAATCATGTGGGTTGTTTTAAGTCTTAGGTGGAGAGTGGTGTTGATTGCCTTCTCGTGGTGTTCCCTGAAAACGAGTATATCAAAACCGCTGACAAAGTTTAAATCAAATCTATACGAACAATATTTGGCAATGTTCGCTCAATACCTACTAAGGTCTTGATGTACTCGGCTAAACAATCAACAAGTGTGTGACAGTTAATACACACTTTATAAATGGTGTTGCATTGATAAAATATAATGAAAACAATTTGTATCTATTCCAGGTTACAAAGCCAAATTGAATCATCCTTTCCGGAAATATATAAACCGTTATGTAAAGATAAAATTACACAATAAAAATGGTCATGATCAACCAGTCATTTTCTTGAACAACTTTCCCATTTGTTAATAAAAATGGAACCCTTGAAAAAAAAAGGTTCCGAGGGACCAGAAAATCTCGACGTTACAACTGATTCTCAATCGTTTGAGTATACATTCGCGAGACAGTTTTTCAGCCAATTTGTTGAACAATTTTTATAATTGTTGACGTTAAAAGAATCGTTTAAAAAAAAGATTCCGAAGGACTAGTAAATCTCGCCGTGTCAGCCGATTATCAATCGTTTGAGTATACACTCGCGAGACATTTTTTCCGCCAATGTGTTTAATCAATTTTGGATTTCTTAACAACAATGGAACCGTTTTAAAAAAAAAGGTTCCGAGGGATCAGTAAATCTCGCCGTGTCAGCCGATCAGCAATCGTTTGAGTATACATTCGCGAGACATTCTTTCCGCCGATGTGTTTAATCATTTTTGGATTTCTTAACAACAATGGAACCGTTTAAAAAAAAGGTTCGGAGAGAATAGCAAATCTCGACGTTTTAGTCGATTCTCAATCGTTTAAGTATACATTCGTGAGACAATTTCCCCCCCGTTAGTTTAATAGTTTTTGAATTTGTTAACAAAAATGGAATCATTGAAAAAAAAAAGGTTCCGAGGGACCAGCAAATCTCGGCGTTTCAGCTGATTTTCAATCGTTTGAGTAAACTTCTGCAAGACATTTTTTGCACCAATTGCTTTAATAATTTTTGAATTAGTTAACAAAAATGGAATCATTGAAAAAAAAAGTTCCGAGGAACCAACAAATCCCGACGTTTCAGCTGATTTTCAATCGTTTAAGTATACATGTTCGAGACAATTTTTCTTCAATTTTTTAACATCAAAACGGGAGTAGAAAACCCAATTATCTATTAACAGTTAAAGAAAATTTCGCCTTAATATCCAAGTTAAACAAACGTTGAATATTAATATGCGTAGCCCCTCATAGTGACCATTGAAATTTGCCTACAAGGATTATCGATCGGCGATAATCCGAGGAATGTCTTCTGCCTAACGCTAATCGGCCGGGAAATCAATGATTTCCCGGAATTTGTCCGGGAGACATCCGGAGAAAAAAAGAGGAGATCAAACTCACCGGAAAACGGCAACATCGAATATCGAAGGCCCAATAATGTGATCCAAAAATTCCGAAAAGTGTACAAACTATACCCCATTTATGAATTTCATCCCGAGAATTATCGATCTGCGATAATCCGAGGAATATCCAATAACTCGGAAGAACTAGGGAATAAAAGAAAAGGAAACAAAAAAAAGCAAAAAACGTTAACGCCTCAGACTCGAACCCACTCTCCTCAGAACTGCAGAGAGTGAGGGAGAGAGGAAGAACCACTGGCAATGGCTGGCCGTGGAAAATCCCGCAACTTAAAACCGTTCCTAAAACCCAAAATTTTGAGAAATTTTAGGAAAAATACCCACTGCCGTGGCCAGCGAGCCCCTAGTATTTTGGGGATGCAAATGCGGAGGGAGAAACCCTCCGAAAACCATCCAAACCATTCATGGAAAACTCAACCGAAGCCGGGCGACCGGCTCGGATAAAGCCACAACATGTCGTGGAAATATTCGCGACAAAAGGGGGGAAAATGCACTTAAACTTGTTAAACTAATTCCCAACTCACCTTCGGGGTTTCCTTCCCTTCCGTCGTGCTTTTCTCACCATAATTCTCACTTTTTCCACGTAATTTTCGACTAATTCTTTCTTCCACACGTGTGGCCTGACTCGGCATGAACAACTGAATGGGAGAGGTCAGTGCAACAGGTGAGCCACGCACAGCCTAAAATCTGGCGCTTCCTGATTGGCCGGCGTTAGTTCCCCTTTAAGGCGCGGCGGCTCCAGCGCCAATTTAAATTTAAATTCACTCTAAGTTAGTACTAACTTCTTTTTTTTTTTCTTTCAATTCGCCGGGGTTACGGGGTCTTTTTAATCACTTTTCCCGGGGAGCACGAGTATTAAAAATCTTCCCCTCTTTACGCATAAATTTAAAACTTAGTATTTCCTACTAATCTCAAAAGTTATTAACAATTAATTTTAACCCTAACCCGTAAGCAACCTGGCAATTCGGGACGAATAAGGGTTGCACTTAGTCTCCCCGACCTTCCACCGAAAAACAGAAACGTAAACGTAAACGTAATCCTAATCTTCTGCTCCCACTAAATCGGAATGTCAATTTCTTTTATTGAAATCGCGATGTTTTATTTAAATGCAATGGAGAAGGGACGGCTGCATTTTTTGCGGAAGAGCAGTGGACGTCAAGTATTTACGCGGAAAAGATGAGTATGGATGCTGCAAACTGTACCTTGGCTATGCGGCAAGAACATGAGTCGCTGAACAAAGATAAGTCTCCAAGTAGGTTACAAGTAGGTTTCTGAGATTAATAAATACGGTACCGGACGACCGGATTAGTATAAAGCGTCAGCCGTAATTCAAAGTTTTTTGCAGAAATGCGGCCTAGACTATGAGGAGGTTTTTCGACACGTAGTCAGAGTAACTACTTTATATCCATTTTTGGTTATTGCAGGCTACAGACAGCACCTGTCAAATATTTTAACGCAAAGATCACATTTCTCCACAGAAAGTTTACTGCTGGTTATAACGAAGTATTTATGGTTGTGCAACGTGGTATCAGTTTACTTATTTCTGGACTTTCATGTGATTATAGTTAACTTCCATCGGGCAGGAAGTCACCATCATTGGCGGAAGATGCGATAGAATCTTCTTATACTTATTTTTTTCTTTCATTCTCATCGATTCAAATAATGCGTTAGTACGCTTCCACATTCGTCCTATCAGATTCCTCGGTCACCTCATCGAGGTGTTAATGGCCACACCTTCTACTGAGGGCACAACGCCAGTCATCTGTATGACGAAGACTTGAGGACAGATTTTTTTTAGTTTTAAGAAAATGTTAATTGAAACGTTTCATTGCTGTGTTCAATGCGGGCGTATGCATTATGATTTTCAGGAAGCACGGCGGATTTGTTCTTATGTTGACGGAAAAATTTCAAAAGACATCGCTTGAAAGTCGTACTAATAGTGTAACTAATATTAGTACCTGTTACACATGTCTGATTTGGAAGGATTGCTAAATGCTTAGGGATTACTCCTCATTAGGGTGGTGGTTAGAAGTGATTATTCCAAAATTTAGAGAAGAAATGCCTGGAAGATGCAATGGCATCCTTGCAAATTGACCTGAACCTGAATTTGTCATTCGAATTCTAAGCATATCAATGTATCCCAGGCGTGAGAACCGATTTGTTGTTAGATTATTGATGTTTTGAGTGTCCGAGTCCTGCAGGACTATTAGCTAGTTATTATACCTGTGACTATCTGTCCACTTCGAATTAAGGAATTTCCTTTTCTCCATTTCTTTTTGACGCTTATTTGAAATCTGACTATATTATATCAATTGGATTTAGAGTCTTCGCGGAAGATTTTATTGGTGATTGGAGGGTTTCTAGTTTGCTTTTTACTACATGTATGTATGATTATGTATGTATGAGTAAATGGAAGTGGGATGCTCAGAAGTGAAGGAAAGTGTGAACGAGTGAGTGCATAAAGCACCGACATGGGAAAAATGAACTTGGAATATAGAAAATTGAAAAAACACTAGTTGAATAATGATAGGTAGGATAAAATTTGGTTTTCTTTAGACGCAACGGGAAAGAACCGAGAGAGTCCGGAGAGTACCTATGAGTGATTTACTACATCCGTGACTGGCAAGATTCGTCGCTCCTCAAGAAGCTCATTTTAGTAGTGACAAGGGGAAGGGTGAGGAGGAAGTAGCGTGCAAGTGGCGCTGAGTGATAAGATACAACATGGAACTATATTTTATACATATATTATATATATATATATAATAGTAGATAATAATAACATGGAACATGGAACTATATTTTATATATATATTATATATATATATAATAGTAGATAATAATAAACTGCATTCTATTGCAGCGACAATTGAGAACTGTGTTGTTAGATAACTGAAGTATTGAGTCGAAGAAAATCGAGCATGTTGAAAGGTCGTTGAAAGGATCAAAATAGCTTAACCATATTGAAATATTTTAGGAAAATTACAAAATTTAAAGGTGTTAAGGGAAATTATGGGATATTGTCAAACGTCTCCTACCCGATATTATTTTTCTATCGCTCTCACCTATACTGGCGAATTCTCAAAAAATCTCAATTACGAGGAGATTCTCTGAGAGTTTGTTTTTGTACACCTTCACCATTCTACCAATTCAATTTGCGGATAGTCTAAACCATCGACAGTAAATGATGAAGCTTCAAAAAATTCTACAGAGTACAGAAGGCTTGAGCACGACGAGCCAAATACAATACAATCGAAAAAAGCTGCAAAAAAAAAGGTAATAATGCGTCCGTTATATTTCCCCTTCAAATGCTAATGGAAAATACGAGATATTCAAACAATACTTACTACAAGTCCATTATGAAGATGTAGCGGTCCATCCATTTGCATACTAGTAATCATCATGATAATAGGATGCACCAAATATGCACAGTATGTGAGCCTTGAGAGGGGATAGATGAGTCGAAGGGACAGTAGACTATTGACATAATTAGCTGAACCGGTGCAACATTGTACAACGATGAAAGCAACCGCTATCGCCCATGCACTGTGCCCGAGTGCAGCATAAATTGAGCTAGTGGTCACTGTAAGATCGCCAGGATATAGACCGTATACCACAGCTATCATGATCCCTCCTGATAAGGCCCATCCGATGATTTTTCCCCACTGAAAAATTCAGATGTATGAGTGATATTATCAAATACCGCCTGTAAAGCTGGTCTTTGAATTATTTCATCATTCTAAGGGGAAATTCCGCCAACCAAATCTAATGGATTCCTTATTTGGCAACCCATCATCAACATGGCGGGTGAAAATAGGATTTTGTTAAGCCTGGACTAATTACATGGCAATCGGAAAAAGGGGAGTTTTTTTGATTGAAATAATTCAATAATTGAAATACCGGCTTTAGGCTAGTCATTGCATTCCACCAGTACCAAATTGTTACATGAAGCTATGGGCCATTCCAATTTGCGAATATGTATATAATTTTATCTTAAATTAACTCCAAATTTTTGCTTGAGCAGCAGTCAGTCTGATATTTTTTGTAAGAGGCGCTGATGCGCTCCAGCTTAACCGTTTGCTAAACCCATCTAAGTATCGCAACTTCTCAGGCTTGTGAGTAAATTAATTATAAAGTCTAAGGAGAAAACGAAATGAAAAATATAACACATCAATTGTGGGTCGTGTTGTCGTTATATTATCAAGCAGAAAGGCCGATCGGACGAACGTTGAAACATTCAAAAAATTTAATTGCGTTTTCCGCATTACAGGAATTAAATGTTCAGTAAGTTACATTCAATTTATAGTCTTACATAAATTAGAATAATTTTTCAACTTAAAAAAGCACGGAAACAAGGAATTTGCATTCCATCATTTCATGTCTTGTTGACTTTTTTCATTATATCGATATTCTAAATCTTTTAAAATTCATTAATTCCCAATTAATCAAGAAAATTAATAATTACTGCAGGAAAAATAATTTGCTGTGGAGAATAACGGAGCAAAGGTACTTGAAAAATGATCATACATTAAAAAATAATAAACAATCCTAGTCTTTTATTTCAATGAAATTCTTTGGAATTTCTATAAAAATTCCATTAGTGTTTGGCCGACCGTTTTGGACATGTGTTCGAATATGAATATTGAAAGAATAAATAGATTCAGAGAAAAAATGAACTTACATGAATTTGTTCATACAAATCAATTGAGGCGAATTTGCTTTCATGGTTTTAAATTGTCTTTTTTGACTCATATCGGCAAAAAAGGGAAATTTATGTGCAAAATAGATTAAATTGTAAGGAGAAATCATATTGGTTGCACATCCATTTCTGTTAGATATTCGAATAAAAAAAAAACTTTTAAAAGAATTTAAACACAGAATTTAAACTCATAGAATTTTCATCGGAATCTAATATTGCGGCAAGACGTACAAAATGATTGTTAAATCCTATTGAAAAATGAATTTCCAGTAGAATTTGACAATGATAATAATAAAGACTGATGATTAAAATAGGTAATAATAATGAATAAAAAGGGGGAATCAAACTGAAAATTCCAATACTTGTTTTATAAAAAAATAAAACAAGTGGAATTTTCAAATATGAGAATGTTCATAAACAACTCTATCAACGCACAGGCGAATGCGTTACGCAACCCACCCCTCTTCCCAATCCCTTGACGACCACATCGCCCACGCGCCAAGTCCGCATCCAATACTTTCTCTTCCTCGAAGAAAAAATGCATGGGCACTCAGCACTGCACCATATTCACCCGGCCTCACACAATTATTAATTCATGTATGAATTAACATACACCAATTAATAATTGGCTAAAAAGAAAAGAGGTCAAGCGGACAACTGTTAGTTCGTCTTTACCCTCTAACCCAGGGCTGGGCAAACTCTGCTCTGAGAGCAAGTCGTGCTCCCGACCTCTATTAGTGCGTAACAAAGAGTAGACGAAAGCCCATTGTATCGGGTGATGGGCCTTTATGACCCAGGTCGTAAAGGCCCTTCTCCTCCACTGAGATCAACCGAAGTGGGGGTGACGCTTAAAAAAAGGGAAAAAGAAGAAATGAGACTCAAGTAAAGGAAAAGCAGAGAAATAAGTCAATGAGGAAATTTTCAATTTTTTCATTGTGTGCATTAAAAAATAATCAGATGCGCGACAAGTTTTACCCTTCCGGAGGATGAATTCTACCCGTAAAATGTCATCAGTCTATCTACCTCTCTCTCTCTAATACAATATGTGCAAGAAAGAGGCAGAAGACACAATTATAACGCAATTTATACCAACGGCCGGGAAACCCCTATTTTTTTTAATTTTATTCATAACAAATAGCTTAGCCAACTAGTTGA